CGCGACCTCGGCCTCCAGCGTCTCCAGCGAACTGTAGTGGATGCTGTGGCGGCCAGGATGCTGCTGCTGGGATTACTGCAGGCGGGCGGGTCGGTGTTGGGGCAGGCGATGGAGAGGGTGACCGGCGGCAACCTCCTATCCATGCTGCTAATCGCCTGCGCCTTCACGCTTGGCCTAGTCTACCTGTTCCGCCTTGCAGTCGGCCACCTGGCCCCCATGCCGCCCGGGGCGGTAAGTGCACCCCGGGGACCCGGGCGGGGAACGCAGCGACCGCTGTGGCCTCAGGGCGAGCCAGGCGACGACAGAGGCGGCCAAAGGGCTAGCAGGAGTGGTGACCACGGCCATGCTTGGCTGGGCGGTGGAAGCGGGCGCACTGGGGGCTGGGAGGTGGCCGCAACTCTGCTGCTGATGGTCGAGACTGCCTTGACCTTGCTAGCCTTGGTGCTGGGGGTCCGGCTGGCCAGGACCTCCAGGATCATAGTGGTGTTATAGACTTTGGCGGAGTCCCTACTGGGGATGGGATGCCCTGGCAGCTTCGGTCCCTGTGGCGGTCGTCTTGATGACTGCGCCCTTGTGGGGTTCAATGTCCTGCGGCCTGTGATATCGCCCCTAATGGCGACTTAATATCAGTCTGAAGGGGGGAGTGTTTGGTAGGGTAAGAGTGACTGGATTGTCACTTCTTGTGCCAATGAAGTATCAGTTTCTTTAAGTTAGTGCCTTTATTGACCATTAGCTTCATACTTACCGAATATATTTGATGAATGCATCCTTAACCAACCAACACCAAGTAGCTTTTAAAACTGCCTTTTACAGTTTTACATTCCACTGCCTTTGTACAGTGGAATGTACGAACTAAAAGTTTTATGAAAGTGTCTTTTATAGCGAGTGCTAAAGCACCTGCTAGGACTGATCTACCCTCTCTTTAAAATCAATGGATGAGATGTGTTTTGTTTACTGATAAATGTAGCTTCTTAAACATTTCACTTTCTGTACACGTTACTGTTTGTCTTTTTCTGTACCTTCTTTAGGTATAGAAAGAATCTGGGACTAAAATTGTGAGTGGTAGTGGTGAAGATGCTGTTGTTTGATTTTCCTGTTTTTTTTTTTTTTTTTTTTTTTTTTTTCCCCACTGCTGTTGGTTAAGAAAGTTGCCTAGAGCCACAAATAAATATTCTGGACAGTGTTCAGCATGTCCAGTTGCAATACCTTTGTGTTTGTCTAGTTATTTATCTTACATCACGTTCTGAGTTTCTGTTTACTATGGCCACTCCTAAGATATTTGCAGTTTAGCTGTTCTTAAGTTATTGATGCTTTATTTTTTATTTCATTTGTTTGGTCATGAACCTAAACTGGATTTCTCCTTTAGAATGAAATGTGAGTCCACATTTTGTTTTCTCTTGCAGAAAAGTCCACCATACATTTTCTCTCCAATTCCATTCCTTGGACATGCCATAGCATTTGGGAAAAGTCCAATTGAATTCCTAGAAAATGCATATGAGAAGGTAAGTCTTCCAAATAATTACAGGAAAAGAAATTAGTGCTTTTCAAACTTTCTTTTAGATGGCAGAACATTAAAAAAAATTTGTGATCTTGTGCTTCTCCCCAGTATAGGAAACAGATTAAATTAGAGCTGCTCCTGTTTAAGAGCTGGAAGGGTCTTGGAGATCCTCTTAATCTCTTCCATGTCCTGGGTGATCTCTGAAACATCACCTGAGGGAACCTGTAGTTCTGGCAGCTATGGCCTAAAAACCACTAGCCTAAAGTTTGTACTTACTGATCGTAGTTAAAATTGATACTGATTGACCCTTATTTTTCTTAACCAGTCATCTGTGGGATTTTCTAACCTGCCTTAAAAATCTTCTGTGACTTCAGTTTTGTCTACTTAGGTGATGCCACGGCCACTCAGATCTTTGCCCTTCCAACAAGCTTTCCCGTGCTGATTCAACCATTTATTCCACAGGCCCACTTTGAATGGTTGTCACTCTTAATGGTTTCATTTCCACAGTATAAATTTAGACACTTTATTCTGAGACCATAACTTCTTTTCCCAGCTTGCCTGTACAGTTCCTTCCATTGTAACCATTCTTTGACCTCATTAGATCTTCTAGTCCATTGTCCCATTTACTTTCTCCTGATCTATTATTAGCCTCTTTACTTCTCTTCTTTTTCCAGTCCGGCACCATGGTCCACCATTTCAGTTACACTTTAGCCAATACCATACGTTTCCTTTTCATTTTACTTACATGGTAAAACCCCAACCTTGGAGGGAGGCTATTAGTCATTTTCTTCTTGCACCAGTTAGGAAGTTCCTTCCTAGCTTCATGATTCCCTACCTTGAATGAGCTTTGAACACTGTTCAACAGTCGTATCATGCCAAAGTATGGTTGGCATACTTTGTGTTTGCCACACTGACAGTTCAGACCTTCATTTTCTAAACTTCTGAATCTTCCTATCAAAGCAGATGATTTCGTCTCCTCTTTAAAGAGAGATGTATAACCATCCAAAGAGAACTCTCTCATGCTCCCACTTTGAAACATATATTCTCTTTTCTTCCTGTTACACTAATTATAAAACACTTACTTTGTGCCAATACTGAGTGCTTTAGATAGATTATTTCACTGAAGCTCCACAAATTCCTTTCAGGTATATACATTTTATACATGATAACACTGAGAAACAGGTTATATAATTTGCTCTTGGGGCTCCCTGCTGGTTAGTGGTGAAGCCAGGGTTTATATATGGTCTGATTTCCAACTCTGTATGCTTTTAATAATAATAATAGTAATACAACACATGTAATGTTTACTACGGCCAACATACTCTTCTACAATATATTTATATCTGACATACACATCATGGATATAATCTGTATGTGTATATATATGTATATATAATCTTGATAATAGTAGGAACTGTCATTATTTCCATTTTATGGATGAGGGAAACTGAAGTACAGAGAAGTTAAATTCTCTGTCTGTAGGAGCAAGGTCACAACAGCTAATACGTGGAGGACCCTGGATGTGAACCCTGGTAGTCTGGCTCTAGAATCTTAGGCTCTAGCCTACTAGGTGCTGTCACCTTGGTTTTTATTTTGTATCCTATTGGAAGTTAAAGTCTCAATCCATCTTTTGTCTCAGGAACATTATGCTGTTTTTCTTCTTTCTATAGTGACTTCTTCAACTGGATCTTTCCCATGTTCTCTGAAAAATTTTTCAAAGGTCAAAAGGACCAGAGCTTCTGTTGACCACTCAGTCTCCTCTCATGTCCTTCCCCCTTTAGCAAGTTTTCTGCACTTACTTTGTTTCCACATCTTCTGTTTACTTACTCTTCATACCACCCTTGATTAATGAGTTCCATTTCCTAATTCAATGAACTTGACCTCTCAGCTGTATTTGTCACTGGTAACCACAACTACTCCCTCCTCCTTAAATGTGGCTTCTCTCATTTTTTCCCCCTGCTTCTCTGTGTCTTCTCTAACTCATTCGTGGGCTCATGCCTGGCCATTTACTGTTGGGGTTCATGTTGGTTTGGTCCTTGGCCTTTATTCTTTCCTAGGTGATCTCCTCTCTACCTGCAGCTTCAGTTACCAGCCATATGTGGATGACACCCAAATTAATAAGCTCCAGACCTGGATGTTCACCTCTCATGTGATTCTTTTCTGAGATGTCTCAAAGGCATCAGAAATCCAATATTTCTAAAGTCTCACCCTTGGTTTTTCTCTCTCCAATCCTGGTTGTCCTGTTCTTTCTTCTCACCATTGTTCTGTTTTACAGTGAACTGAAGCCTATGATTCATTCTTGATACTTCCCTCTCCCTCTCTTAATCCATTTCCATCTGCAGATTCTCCAGAATAACTCAGTATACATTTGCTTCTATGGGCATTGTCCCACCATTAACCATGTGGCAAGTTTTCATCATCAGTTTCCTGTAATAGGCTGTAACTCGTCCTCTGGTATTCTTTCTGTTCTTGTCCCTCCCTCTTCTTTCTATAACAGCCAGAGGGACCTTTCTTTTTAAAATATGCATACATCAGTGTGTCTCTCGTATGCAGTTTAACATCTTCTATGGCTTTTCATTGCCTGTAAGGAAAAAACTGAATATGGCTTCTGAGACTCTGGTGTAGGCTCTGCAGACTATGCTCCTCTGTCCTTTCCTCCACTCTTTCCTTCAGGACCTTTGTGCATGTCTGGCCACCATGCTAATTCCTCCTCATCCTTGGAGCCTCAGCTCAGGTGGTCTTTCCTCTCTTTGGTCTCCCTTGTATCAGTTCTTTTATCACAGAGATACTTACCTTCCAGTAGTACTTGTCACATTTGCAGTTTTACATTTGTTGATGTGATTATTTGATTTTAAGTGGTATCTTTTTCAGTAGATTAAGCGTCATGAGTCTGGAACAGTATTTTTGTTCACAATTATATCCTCAGAGCCTTGTCTTCAAAATAATCAGAAAACTGCAAGGGAAAGCATTTAACACTCAACCAGATTAACAAAGAATTAAAAATGAAATCATTTAGTGTTGGTGAGATAGTAGTAAAAACGGATAACTAAATAAACTTCCGATGTCTTTACACAGCAAATACTATATAACTTGTATAATAATGTAAAGGTCATAACCTTTGGTGACTCCTATAAACTTTTCTTTAACCAATGGGAAAAAAATCTATATTCTCAGAGATACTCATTGCAGAAATATCCATAAGAAGTGAAAAAACTGACACATCACCCATTTGTCCAATAATGAAAGAATAATTATTAAAATTATGTTTGTGTAAAGGATAGTAAATATTTTCAGTATAAACTGAAAAAAATGAAAAGTTTATTCATATTTCATTTGGAACTGGATGAATAAAATTATAAATCTGCACAAAGACTGGGTGAATAACTGCATTAAGGCTTATGCACGTTTTAATTTTCAAAAGTAAAGAGGTTAGTATTTCTTTAGTGCTCCATATTTTTTGGCATCATCACTAAGGCTGCTTTTCTTTCTTTAGTATGGACCTGTATTTAGCTTTACCATGGTGGGCAAGACATTTACTTACCTTCTGGGGAGTGATGCTGCTGCACTGCTTTTTAATAGTAAAAATGAAGACCTGAATGCAGAAGATGTCTACAGTCGCCTGACAACACCTGTGTTTGGGAAGGGAGTTGCATATGATGTCCCTAATCCAGTAGGTGATGCTCTTCTCGCCAAGAAAGACATATCTATAATATAATGTTATAGGTAGTAGTGTAATATTGTACATGGAAAATGTGGAGACAATTCATTCCTTGGTTCAAAAATCTGAAGCATGAGACATTGAAAAGACAAAAACCCCTAGGTAACTGACAAAGAATGGGTATTTGTTTTGTAGTTGCAGGCACGGGCTAAGCAGTTTTAAATGGTTTCCTGCACAGAGAAATACAACCAATGATAACAGTGCATTGGAATTTGAGTCCATTGGGTGACAAGAAAATCCCATTTTTTAATCAGAAGGTCCTCCTGCCATCCCACTCCTCTGAAATTCTAGCATAAGAGCTTGTTTTGAGCTAGAGATTGTTGGCTTTAGAAGTTTGGTTTCTTTCCTCCTCCTAAAGTCCAATATTAAAGTGTTGCAAGTTGATACGAAAAACACCAATGAGATCATTGGCTCAATTGCTTGGTGTGGGCTCTGGCTGAGATCCTACCACACGTTACCTAGTATCCCAGTGCAGCAGTTAGGAGTCAACATCAAGTGTTATTTCTGGGGATGGGGGTGGGTGGGGGGAGCTGTGGGGGAATGAATGGCTCCTCAAGGCCAAAAGCAAGAGCCCTGGAAAACACCTGTGGTCAAATATATCTATTTTTTTCATACTGCTGATCAGATTCTTAAAATAGAAATGTCCCAATGGTTTAAAACCATTGGTTGTCTTAGGGTGAGTTTATTTTAGTCAGACTATATTGAATCGTAATTAAACTTCTGGAAGATAGTGAAAGGAACAATACTTGTTTGGGAATAGAATGGGAGAATATGTGAAGTAGGATAAAAATGATATCAAAGTGTAATGAACCTTTGGGAGATGCTGTTGGTGTCTGGGTTGGTTTGGAATACCAGAAGAGAACAGGATAGGAAAGGTAAGCCCTGGAGTGAGGAGTGGCAAAATGTGTATGTAGGAAGGAAGGCGGAGGTGGGGTTCCTAATTTATTGTTAGTCTAGGGCCCATGCACCAGGTGTTTCTCCACACATTACTTCAGATCCATGTAAACGCGCTAAGTTTCCCATGTCTGATGTAGTTTAAAAAAAAAATCCTTTTATTTTTTAATCTTTTTTCAGAATATTGTTTTCTTTGGGTGTTACAGAGTTCTTATAATAGCCTAAATGAATCTTGTGACAAAACAAAATTGTGTTTTAATGCTTGGTATTATACCGTTAATATTTTTAAGGTGTTTTTGGAGCAGAAGAAAATGTTAAAAAGTGGCCTTAACATAGCCCACTTTAGACAGCACGTTTCTATAATTGAAAAAGAAACAAAGGAATACTTTCAAAGTTGGGGAGAAAGTGGAGAAAAAAGTAAGCAAATGTTTTGGTTTTGCATTTATCCTAATATTTCTACTTTTTTATGACTAGAAACATAAGAATATATGATATGTATAAAAAAATAAACTACAGCATTTGTGAAACCTCCTTAGATTTAATGGCAAGAATATGTTTTGATAACCATAGAGTTAAAAAGACCCAAGAGAAAGTGATTTTACCACTCATTTAGCAAAACTTTTAAAATGGGTTAACTAACATGCAGGTTATTCAGCTCATTTGTACAAATAATATAAAAATCGTTTTTTAAAGATTAAAATAAACTGAGTGTAAAACTTTTTGCAAGGTCATTTTAAGACAATAAAATAACTTTTTTTTTTCACCCCAGTGGGCAAGTAAAAATCTAAGCGATTTAGTTTTGTATATAATACCTTATTTATTTAATATCGTATGAGAATGATTTAATTCATGAAAAAAGTAAATTTAAATACATAGGTTTATTTTACCACCAAATGTATTATATGCTCTCTTGCGTTATGTACGAGTATACTGAGTATAATTTGACATTCTTTGGATATTTGTATGAATCCATTCTGTAAATGGGACAATAAGTGTCCCTTTCAGAGAAAATTGCCATGGCCAAAGCAGGAAGCAACATCTGCCTACAGAGCATCAAGACCTCTTCTTAGGTCCCCATGTTTTTTCTGGGCATGGTCTTCAGTTTCTATAAAAGGTCCAGAAACTTGATTTTATTTTTAATACACCTAAAGTTGATGTGATCTGTTTCTAACCATATAACAAGCTGATGTATAAACTAGAATGCCAACTTAATGAATACAAGTGAGACAAAGTTATAGCACTGAGAACACCAGAATTTGCCTGACTTCATTGGCAAATCTCATTGGAAAGCCAGGTGATAACTGGAAGTTCATTTGGTACATGTGGAATTAAAGAGCAAGGCGCAACTGGGTAATTTTTAGGACGTTTAAATGTCATCCAAACGTGCTTGCCTACACTGGTCTAAAATTTGGGATATACCAATTGGTGATTAGTTACAGTTTTCTTTCATATACGGTCAAGACTTCAAATTGTCCTGATTTTCCTGCTTTTGACCTGGGAAATAACCCATTCTTCGGTCTTTGGACTGCTGTTCTTTGGGAAGCATCTCCGATGCACTAAATAACCTTTTGCTGCTTTTGTTACACTGCGACCTGGAACTCCTGCAACTATATTCGTTTTTGTCTTCAATTTATCTTTTCAAGTTGAGTCATGAGTGAGGTTTAAAGATGTCTTTGTGGCCCCTGTTTTGGCCACTTGGGAGTGCTTCCCATCATGAGTTTCTTGCCTCTCTTTGTTGTGTCCACATGTCTGTCTGTAGGCTTTTTTTGATGATATGAACAGGAAGGATCTTTGGTTTTTGTTCTTAATTTTCCTTTTTAATACTTTCATATCTCTAAGAAAACAGAACATTTCAAAAGAATATTTGGTAATAGAACGGGAATGATCTTTTTTCCTCTAGATTTGTTTGAAGCTCTTTCTGAGCTCATAATTTTAACAGCTAGCCATTGTTTGCATGGAAAGGAAATCAGAAGTCAACTCAATGAGAAAGTGGCACAACTGTATGCAGATTTGGATGGAGGTTTCAGCCATGCAGCCTGGCTGCTACCAGGTTGGCTCCCTTTGCCGAGTTTCAGGTATGGATAAAAAAAACTATGCTTGTTTATTTCACTGTAGAACTGCTGTAGTGTCGGTATACTTTATGTTAACAAAGATAAAAAATAAAAGAGACAAATTAGGGGAGATTATGAGCCCCCATTCTTCTATAAGAATTCAAGACAGGTTTTCTGTATATAGTGAGCTCACTGAAGATAAGTTTCAGTTTATTAAAGCAGTGATTTGTTGTCCAGCTGTTCTAATATTTTAAAACCTACTTATCGCACATATTCCTTGTAGTCAGGAAAGTCTCTCAACTCTATCTGAAGGTGATACACCCCTCTATGCACTTATTTGAAAATATTTGACTGTTTTTATAGTATATTGTGAAATATCTTTCTTTTGAAGTATTAGTGGCTTTCTTTAATTATCTCTGTCTTCTTACAACTGTACTGTGATTTCCTTAAGGGCAGGGACCATCTGATACAAAGAAATACTGCTTATAGGACTTGACATACAGCTTGTGTATCAGTGGGCTCTCTGTACCTGTTGATTCACTGTTGTTCAGGTGAGAGATGGAGAGGAGTTAAGTTGGTACTCCCTTTTCCTTCTGCTACTTCTACATAGTTACAGGATAAAGAGGGGAAGAAAAAAGGAAAACCAGGAGGGTTTCTCTGGAATTCTTTAGAACTCGTAATACTTTATAAGGAGCTTGGCAGTTTTCAGAATTCTTTCATGCATAGCCTGTAATGGATTCTCCAGAAATGTGCATTGAGTCTGTTTTTACCTCTTCTGTCTCCTGGATGAAGTCAGAAATTCCTGAGCTTGGTACAATAGACCTTTCACACTTCAGCCCAGTCTTTCTCGGTCTTACCTGAACCAACTGATTTAACTAAATTATTCCATTGCTTTTCTTAAACAGGCCTTATGTTTTTCCTGGCACTGCTGTGTTCATTTTGGTAAACTTCTTCTGCCCACATTATCTCAGTTGATCCTCAGTGACAGTCTTACAAACAAAGCAGGGCAGCAATTTTTATTAGAAGGCTTGGTTACAAAGGGGCTAGGTAGTCAGATTGCCTGGTTTTAAATTTCAGCTGCATTGCTTTCTGGCTCTAGTGATCTCATGCAGTTACCTGTGAATTGAGGATAATAGCATCTACCTCACAGGAGGTCAAAGTGGGTAATTCATGTAAAACACTTAGAGTACCTGTTACCCACTGAGTACCCTACTTTAAAGGTAAGATTTGGGGAGCTGAAGTTTGTTTTGTGACTCTACTAGTGTTTTTGCCCCTTACAAAACATGTGGTCTCAGAAAATAAAAAGAATCAAATCCTATATGCTATAGTCATGTTCTAAATCCTAGATTTTATATAATCCTAAATAAATCTTAAGTTTATTCAAATCCTGAATCCTACAGAAAAACCAGAATGACTATCTTCTTCAAGAATTAATTTGGTCAAAATTGGAATTTTAATTAATTTCATTAATTTAAAGGATTATTCTGCTGTTAAACCAGAAATGGATTCTACAGGAATAATAACAAGTCTTATGTTAGACCTTCATTAGAACACAGGTGGTGGTATGTTAATAGTCAGGGTCACATATGTAAAGACACCTTTCTTGCCTTTAAGGACCCTGGACATTTCTAACAGTATAAGAATTTTATGGCCTTTTTTTTTTTTCCTCTTGGTTCTGATTTTTTGTCGATTATTATAGAGTTATTCAAGTTAGTTAAATAAGGTTATTTTCAAAATGAACTGATGCCAGAAAGTACTTTTTAGTCATTTTCATCTTTGAATTGCAGACGCAGGGACAGAGCTCATCGAGAGATCAAGAATATTTTCTATAAAGCAATCCAGAAACGCAGGCAGTCAGAAGAAAAACTTGATGACATTCTCCAAACTTTACTAGATTCTACTTACAAGTAAGAGCTCTTTTAGCATGTATCAGGCTAATGCAGGAAATTACACATTACAACATAGTTAATTACAATTAAAAAGTAATGATGCTGACAGAATTAGTAGCTGTGACCCTTGGACTTTTTCAATGGATGAGACATAAAATACTGGGAACCTATGCCTTAGTGAAGTCCCAAGTGACTGTGCATGGGAAAAAGTTTGCTGATAAACTGCAGGGAAGTATTTTGTAATCAAAATCCTATTTGTCTTTGGTCTGTCTCTTTTCCCTAAAGGGGGAAAAATTCTCACTTGTGATGGGCAAATGCAAGAGACTATTATACCTGAAAAATGTATTCACCATGACCCTTTATTTAAATGTTGACAAGGGGCACCTGGGTGTCTCACTCGGTTAAGCTTCTGACTCTTGATTTTGGCTCAGGTCATGATCTCACAGTTATGGGATAGAGCCCCCTTTTGGGCTCTGCGCTGGGCATGGAGCTTGCTCCTGCTTAAGATTCTCTCTTCCTCTCCTCTCTGCCTCTCTTCCCCGCTTGCACTCTCTCTCTCTCTCTCTCTCTCAGAATAAATACATAAACATAAAAAAAAATAAATGTTGAGGCCTGAAATGGGTCTGCCACAATGGTAAATTTGTGTTTGTGATTCACTCTGTAGGGATGGGCGTCCTCTGACAGATGATGAAGTGGCAGGCATGCTTATTGGACTGCTCTTGGCAGGGCAGCATACATCTTCAACTACGAGTGCCTGGATGGGCTTCTTTTTGGCCAGAGACAAAACACTTCAAGAAAAATGCTATTTAGAACAGAAGACAGTCTGCGGAGAAGATCTGCCTCCTTTAACTTACGATCAGGTTTGTGGATTTTTAATTTCATTGCTGCCTTATGACTTTGAGTATCTAATGAGTGGCTAATTTTTAGAGGGGACAATTTGAGATCTTCTATTTATTGTAAATTAAATTAGCTTCTTTATTTTTAGAAAACTCCCCATAGCCCTCCCTGAAATGTCTTAATGTTGGATCCAGTTTGCTAGTATTTTGTTGAGTAATTTAGCATCTATTCATAAGGGATATTGATGTGTAGTTTTATTTTTGGGTGTGTAGTTTTATCATGACGTCTTTGACAGGTTTTGATATCAGAGTAATGCTGGTCTAATAGAATAAGTTTGTAAGTGTTCCCTCTTTTATTTTTTTGGAAGAGTTTATGAAGGATTGGTATTAATTCTTTCTTATGTGTCTGGTTAGAATTCACCAGTGAAGCCATCTCAGTCTGCTTGTCTTTGTGGGAAGTTGTTTGATGATTTGTTATAGATCATGTGTTCTGTTTCATCCTGAGTCTTTGGTTTATGTCTTTCTAGGAATTTGTCCATTTCACCTAGGTTACCTAATTTGTTGGCTTAAAATTGTTATAGTTTTCTCTTACCATCCTTTTTATTTCTGTAAGTTCAGCAGTGATGTCTCCTTTTTCATTCCTGATTTAATAACTTTTTTTTT